TCATTCCAAGTTGCGGCTGTGATTGAAAAGCTGCCACCGAGTTGGAAAGACTTCAAGAACTACCTCAAATATAAGAGGAAGGAAATGAGTCTTGAAGACATGGTTGTTCGTCTTCGTATTGAAAAAGACAATCATAATTTATCGGGAAAAATTCCGATGATGGAGGCTCGTGCCAACTTGCTGGAACAAGGCAACTTGAGCAAGAGGAAGCCCCTTGAAAAAGTGAAGCAACAAGCCAAGGTTTGAAATTTTACCGGCACTTGCTACAACTGTGGAAAACAAAACCATATAGCTAAAGACTGCAGAAGGCCAAAGAAGGTTGTGCCAAAGAAAGGGCAACTGAGTGCCCTTGTTACTGAACACGGCCCTATGTCGGGTGAACTAACCGACTTTGATATGTCGGTTGTGGTGTTTGAAGCCAATATGGTGGATAACCCAAGGGAATGGTACATACATCGATACTGGTGCCACTCGTCATGTGTGTTCCGATAAGGAGGTATTTTCTGAATACACTCCTACTAAGAGTCGGAAACTTTACATGGCAAACTCCTCCACGGCTGATGTGGCTGGAGTGGGTACTGTGGTGCTGAAGCTGACTTCTAGAAAAGAGTTGAAGCTTAAGGATATTATGCATGTCCCAGACATCTGCAAGAATTTGGTCTCCGGATCTCTTCTTATTGAGCATGGATTTAGGCTGGTATTTGATGCTAAGAAGTTTGTTCTTAGCAAGTTTGGAACTTTCCTTGGCCATGACTATCTCGAAAAGGGTATGTTCAAAATGAATGTAATGGCCATGAGCCGTGTAACCGTTTTAAATGATAATGAAAAGCCTATTTCTGTTTATACCGTTGAGTGCTCTGATTTATGGCATATTAGATTGGGACATGTAAATCTTAATGCAATTAAACGGTTAATGAAATTAGAATTAATTCCTAATTCTAAAATTGAATCACAGAAGAAATGTGAAATTTGTATTGGAGCAAAAATGGCTAAGTTGCCTTTTCACTCGGTGGAAAGGAGTACTGAACCATTAGGCTTGATCCATACTGATGTATGTGATATGAAAAGTGTGCAAACAAGAACTGGTAAAAAGTATTTTATTACTTTTATTGATGATTGCGCAAGGTTTTGCTACTTATATTTATTAAGAAGCAAACACGAGGCTGTGGAAGCGTTTAAGATCTATAAGACCGAAGTTGAAAATCAACTCGGCAAAAAGATTAAAATAATTCGAAGTGATAGGGTTGGGGAGTATGTAGCTCCTTTTGAACAAATATGTTCTGATAATGGCATAATTCATCAAACAACGGCTCCTTATTCTCCAAAATCGAACGGTGTTGCTGAACGCAAGAACCGTACGTTAAAAGAAATGATGAATGCCATGTTGATAAATTCAAGATTACCCCAAAATATGTGGGGGGAAGCTGTTTTAACAGCAAATCATATTCTGAATAAAGTACCACCTAAAGGGAAAAAGGAGACTCCTTACGAAATGTGAAAAAATCGTAAGCCGTCTTATAAATACCTGAAAGTGTGGGGGTGTTTGGCTAAGGTTTCAGTTCCTGAACCCAAATAAATGAGAATCGGGCCAAAGACAGTCAATTGTGTGTTTATTGGATATGCGTACAATAGTACAACATATAGATTTCTGGTTCATAAATCATAAAATCCAGAGGTATCTGTTGATACCACGATTGAGTCGAAGAATGCTATATTCTTTGAGAATATATTTCCTCTGAAGGAAAGGGCAGAATCTAGTTCTAATAAACGAACATATGAAACTGCTAGTGGTTCTGTACCATAGAGTACTGATGAAGAACCGAGACATAGTAAAAGAGTAAAAACGGCTAAAACGTTTGGACCTGATTTTATTACGTATATGTTGGACGATGAACCGAGTTCCCTTAAGGAAGCTCTATCCAGCCTAGATGGACCACTCTGGGAAGAAGCTGTAAATAGCGAAATCGAGTCCATTGTGCAAAATTATACTTGGAAGTTGGTTGATTTCCCTGAGGGTTGTAAACCTTTAGGATGCAAGTCGATCCTAAAGAAAAAATATAAAGCTGATGGATCGATTGGTAAGTTTAAAGCACGATTGATGGTCAAAGGCTTTAAACAAAAGGAAAGGTATGATTTCTTTGATACATATTCACCAGTTACGCGTTTAGCGTTGATAAGAGTGCTTCTCTCGATTGCTGCTTTGCACAATCTTGAGATTCACCAAATGGATATCAAAATGGCATTTTTGAATAGTGAATTAGAAGAAGAAATATACATGGATCAACCTGAAGGGTTTGTTGTACCTGAACAAGAGAGAAAGGTGTGTAGATTGATCAAATACTTGTATGGACTGAAACAAGCTCCGAAACAATGGCATTTGAAATTTGATGACATATGTTGTCAAATGATTTCAAAATCAACGAATGTGATAAATTTGTTTTTGTCAAGAGTACATCAAATACATTTGTGATTGTATATCTATATGTAGACGATATGTTGATCATGGGGAGTAGCCATGAAGTGATCATGGATACGAAAAGAATGTTGAAGAGAAATTTCGACATGAAAGATATGGGTTTGGCTAATGTTATTCTTGTAATAAGAATCATCAGAACCCAAGATAGAATTGTCTTGTCACAATCTCATTATGTAGAGAAAGTGCTCAAGAAATTTAATGCTTATGACGGTGCACAGACTAGGTGTAAGACGCCCCTTGATCTTAGTATAAATCTGGTGGCTAATAAAGGTCAACTAGTGGCTCAATTGGAATATTCACGGATATTAGGGAGTCTGATGTACTTGACAAATTGTACACGACCAGACTTGGTCTATCCAGTGAGTAAGTTGAGCAGATTTACAAGTAATCCCAGTCATGAGCACTGTAATGCTTTGAGAAGGGTACTTAAGTACTTAAGGTACACTCTTGAATACGGGCTAAAATACTCGAGATATCCAGCCGTACTTGAAGGGTACTGTGATGCAAGCTGGATATCAGATTCGAGAGATTCTCGCTTCACTAGCGGATATGTTTTCTGTATTGGAGGAGGTACAGTTTCGTGGAAATCCACAAAACAAACATGTATAGCTCGGTCAACGATGGAATCAGAGTTCATAGCTTTAGATAAAGCTGGTGAAGAAGCCGAGTGGATTAAAAAAAATTTATCCGATATTCCATGTTGGGATAAGACTTTGCCGGCTGTGATTATTCACAGTGATAGCCAAGCTGCTATAGGTAGGGCGCAGAGCAACTTGTATAACGGTAAGTCTAGACATATTCGTCGTAGACATAATACCGTACGCCAATTGATCACAAATGGTGTTATTTCCATTGACTATGTGAAGTTTAAGCAAAATTTAGTTGATCCTTTGACGAAAGGATTGAATAGAGATCAATTGGGGGAGTTTTGCTAGAGGGAATGGGATTAAAAATCCATAATGTAAAGAATGATCATAGTGGTAACCCTACCATGCTGAGTGGAGATCCCACGAACTTGGTTCAAAGGGAAAACTAAGCTATGAAAATTCAGTTGAGCACTTGGAACATATGAATGTCCAAAGCTATTCCCTAGAAACTCCAAGTGCAAGATGACCTGTTGATTGTGGTGAGGATAAGTTAAGTGGACTTTTAATGAATCCCTAACCTTGTAAATGTGGAGTAATATAGGACACTCTTGATAGGGAGGTCACCTATATAAATATTAAGTGTGGACCGCTTCAAATGTGAACACTCATGAATCCAAAGTGTTGTCCATGGCCAAAACGGACACAACGATAGAACGGAATGGAGTTAAGTCTCTATTGTGTAAATATCATTGTCTTGGTGTACACTATGGAGGAATAGTTCAAGGCATTATGCCCACTAGGCCGCCAGTGCATCCGATGATATTTACTAAAATTCAAAGCCAAAAGCTACATTTTCTGATGCAATAGAGTTTAACGAGGATTGAGCACAAGAGTCTGTATAGATGTATAAATTTATTTCCTCTCATGTGGGGGATTGTTATTATTGAGAGGAAATAAATAAGTATGGGCTCCTCTTCTATTAAAATATTGCATTGAGTATTGGGTTGTGTGCCTCTTGAGTTTGTTCCCATATGCCAAATTGAGTGCTTTATTGAGTGGAGTATTTGTCATCCGAAAATTTCCCATTCTTCTGCATATCATTCCATTGGCTTTCGTGAAGACCATACTGCAAATGGTTATTTTACAACCTCATTTCCTCCTATAAATAGATGTGCTTTGGCTGAATGAAAAACACACCAGACGGAAGAAAAAAGAATATAGAGAGAAGAAAGAGAGATAGAAAAATATTCAGTCCTAAAAGAATATTTGAGGGATAAAAATATTAGTGATAAAAATAGAGAAAAAATTATCAGAGAGATATTTAAGTGCTCAATTCTAGACTCCGTTTCAGTTCGCCGGAGCTCGTAAATCTGGTGCGCTACAGATTTAGAGACGTTTGCCGTTGTATCTTTGGGGAAGTTACGCATGAACCGTTAAATGCCACACGGGGCATATTTTTCTTGCGGAAAGAGTTTTACTCGCCTCGCTAAAATTTTTCCGTTTTGTTTTAACTCATTTTTCAGTTGTAATTTATTTTTCAGTTCAATTGTAATTTTCTATTTTAGATTATTTGTAAGAACTGAAAAATACATATCAGTTCATAGGATTCCCGTATATTTTTACACACAGATTTCTAACACAAACTTGATCTCGACTAGAGTTCGAAATCTAGGTGCTCGAACTCGAGTCGAGCGCTCTCGAGCCGTTCGTTTCGTTTCCTAGTGATCTCTTAACAAAACTTTAATCCTTTCAGTTAATCTGCTTATGATTCTTACTGCAATTATAATATGTAGTCCATTCACGGCGTCAAGGTAAAATTTAATGTGCAGCTGGTACAAAAATTCATCTTACCTAGTCTATGTCTAAAAAAACAAACTATTAATTACTAAATTTAATGTGCAGCTGGTACAAAAATTCATCTTACCTAGTCTATGTCTAAAAAAACAAACTATTAATTACTGTTGTTTGCCTATAAAATAAACCTACTCCCCAAGTCCCATCTAACAACAATCATCACAAAAACAAAAACAAAACAAAACCTCCAAGAAAAAAAAAACACCAAAATAATATGGATCATAGTCACTGGTTGACATCAACCCAGGTTTTAACATCCTTAATCCTTCCAATTCTCATAATCTCTTCCTTTCTCTTCCCAATCACCACCTCCCAAGAAAGCCCATTTCTCTACAAGATCTGCAAAAACGAGTCGGCCGGCAGCTACACAAAAACCGACCCCTTTGCGAACAACCTCAAGAACGTCTTAGACAACCTCGTCGACCAGACTCCGAAACACGACGGGTTCTGGACAACATCCTCGGGCGGGGCCTACGGGCTCGCCCTTTGCCGCGGAGACGTCTCGTCCGACCATTGCGACTTTTGCCTCTACGACGCTCGGTGCAAGATCACCCAGCGTTGCGTCGAACGTGCCGCCATTGTCTGGTATGCACAAATTCTTTATCTGAGGCAGTCTAATCGTTAGGCGGGTCGATCAGTCATACTTATTTTATTTTTTTTCTCAGTATCATCACAAATTCTTGTATATGAGGCAATATAATTAACCATTAGACGGATCAACCCGTTATACTTTGTCAAAAAAAAAAAAAATACATACTTATACTATCAAATGATATACTTCTATTTATGACGTTGCACGATATTTTCTAGTAAAAACATGTATATTTGTAAAAAGAGTATGACCGTTAGCCTAACATAAGACCTAATTATTGAAAATTAATCTTGAAATTCTAACGATAGATATGACAACTGCCTCATTAAACATTTCTATGTATGACGCTTTTTTTTTTTAGTATGACATTTTCTAGTAAGAGCATGTATATTTGTGAAAATAGTATTGACAGACAACCTAACACATGACTTAATAATTGAAATATCTGGAAATTCCGACGGAGAAATATAATAACTGCCTCATTTTTTAAAGCATGACATTTTTTCAAATAAAAATATTTATATTTGTGAAAAGAGTATGAGAGCCACCTGATTATTGAAAAAAAATCTTGAAATTCCTATGAAAGGTACGACAACTGCCTCATCAAATACTCGGACCACGATTTCTTTGGAGAAATCGACACCGACAACAGGATCCGAATGTATAACATTTACAACGCGACCGACGCCAAGGGTTTCAACAAGACGGCCCGGGACTTGCTGCAAAGCCTAAAGAAGAAAGCAAGCAAATCGGCAATGATGTTCGCGCAAGGGAGCGCGGTGGAGAAGAAGGAGAACGTGACTATATACGGCATGGCACAATGCGGTCGAGATCTGTCGCGAGGGAACTGCACGAGCTGCCTCGACTACGCCATAAATCATCTCCCGGCGTTTACGGCTACCACCACGCCAGTTGGTGGAAGGACTCTCACCGGAAGTTGCTCGGTTAGGTACGAGGAGTATGTTTTCCTCGATACCCCAACCAAGAATAAGGCCGTAAATGTGAAAATGATAGCTTGATGGGATCATGGGAAATAATATAGTCTCATGTTTGGATTTGAGTTTTATATTTGAGTTTTAAATACAAGGGGTTAACCATTTTTAAATGGTTAAAATGTTCAGAGAAATGTTCAGAGAAATCCAAATATATACAACCAACTAAATATACAAACTTATCAAATATTTCAACCCATTTATGAACTCAAAACTAACTCTAAGAAGCAAGTGACAAAACTAGATTATGCAGAAAAGCTAAAAACTGCAGAGCCAGATTACAAGTGCAGTAGCCAAAGCAGCAAAAGCTCCCACCTATCATAAATTTATTAAAGCCAAAGTTGGAAAAAAAAATTGATCTTCATTTGAAAATAGAAACTAAATTACAATAAAGGTGCAACCTTTGAAGAACAACATGCACCTTCTCCACACAGATCATCTTCAATGGCTTTATAAAAGTGAAGTTTTGCAAATAATAATTGCACCAAGATTATTGGAACCAGCACAAGTGGCCTCTACAATGACCACAAAACAGACTTAAATAAGCCAAGGTCCAATAACCTTTAAACTCAAACAGCAAGTCTCAGCAAGCAGTAATGACATCTTAAATCTTCATAAGATCAGAACCAGTGAAAAAGGGAAGCAACATTATCAAACTATAAGGTTACAGAATTAAACCGATCATCCAATTTTATGAGCACAATTATAGTGTGTTAATCCACTGCACCAAACACTTGCAGCAACAGTAATATGCATTACGCAGAACTGTATAATTAGATAGTTCATAAAGCTATTGCTACATAATTAGCTGTCAAGTAAATGAGATTTCACAAGTTTGGAAAAGAAACCTACATCCACAGCAGAGTTGAACAGGTTCGAAAGTAATTTCCAAGAATCACAGGCCAACATCAAAATCTTGGGCTTTAAATTAATCAATCACACAAAGTTCGGATTTTTACAAGCACCGAACATTAGTGGAGCTCTAACTTGGGAAAACAGATATCGAGAACAAGGACCATGCCCTATTCACAACATTTTGATCAATAAAAGGAACACAGATGAGTCGTGATAGGAAAGCTGGATGTAACCTAGCTAAAAGCAGAGGAAGTGAGCTAGCCTGCTGTGGAAAACCAATGCCATGACTGGACCAAAGTTTGCATTTAGAATAAATATTCGAATCGGTCGAACTGAATGATTGAACTCAGTTTTAAACAGATGAACTGCCCAATAAAGCCTTGTAGAATATAGACTTGCAAGAATAAATCAAGAACAGATAACAAAACTCATTTAGATTCCCAACTTTCCTACAGCAATGCAGCAACTCTCCAATAAGAAATCCACAAAAAATGCACGAGAAATTCAGTCGCAAGTCACATGATTAATAATGTAAAACTATAACAAGGTTTAAAAAAGAATAACTCACATGTTAATACAACATCCTCTATACACATCTCAACTACATCCCATATAATTTCAAACATAAATACCATTGCAGACTCAAAAACAGGTATCAGCAACCAAAAGGGCCAAAACAACAAAAGAAAGCAAAAAGTAGACAATTTTAAGCTTCATGAATTATGCTCAACTTTCATTACAATCCTAGTCCTTCTCTCCCCAGCTAAACTCACATTTTCTGCATCAACAAACCTTGATTTCTTAAACAACTTCACGATATCCTTCACCTCGTTCGGCCCGCACTCCTCCACCGTCACCACGCACACCCCACCACCCCTCACCGTCCTCTCCATTTGTCCCACAAACCGGCCCGGAAAAAGGGCTCGATCCAGGTACAGCCCGAGCCCCAGATCAAAAATCCCATCAAAAAAGGGCAGATTGTGGGGATCCGCCCGGCTCACCAGCGGCGGCGAATCCACCAGCTCCACCCCGGTGACGTCCTCCACGCCCATCTCCTGCAGAGCCTGCACGGCGTGGCCCGGCCCAGCGGAGACGACCAGGGCCCGGGAGTCGTTCGAGAGGTGGTTTCGGGCCTGGAGCGCCATCAGGAGGGAGGCGTAGGAGGCGACGGCGGTTTTCCAGGCGTTGGTGGACCGGAGGCGGCGGTTGCGCTTGTCGACGGAGGTGTAGGGGCGGTGGGTGAAGTCGCAGGTGGATTTGGGGAATCGGGTGTGGGGTTTCGGGTTCGGGTCGGATGGGTCGACGCAAGTGTCGGGGGTTTGCAGGTAGAGGAGCAAGAGGGTCAGCGTGGCTATGGCTATGGAGGCGAAGGAGAGCCTGTTGAGGAGTATCTGTACGTGCTTCTCCATGAATGGATCATTTGGAGCTCCGGCGGTGGAACCCTTTGATTGATGAATTTGGGGTCGCTACGACGTCGTTTGCCGTTCACGGGTTTGCTTTTACATTCTACTAGTGTGTAGTCCGTGCGATGTACGGGTAAATAATATTAAATAATAATTATAAATTAACGATGATAGCAAACAATATTAACTAATAATTATAATTTAAATATGAGGTAAACAATATTAACTAAAAATTATAATTAATTTGTGGAGTTAATATGTGACATAATTTATTGTATATCAGTTGTAAACAATATAAAATTATCTTGTATAAAATAACATAAAAAATGTATGTTTAAAATATTAAAAACACCTAAAATATTATATAACATATGTGAAGTATCTAAAATTTTATATATCATTATTGAAAGATGTGAAGTCACCCAAAATATTTCTAAACTATTTTATAAATAAAACATGTAGTCCATGTATCTCCTGTTAGTCAGGCCGAGTTATGTTCGCATACAATTTTGTTCGATTTACAATTCTAGTCACCCCCCCCCCCAAATATTTTTCTAGATACTTCCCTGATTCTAAAATTTTTATTACCTTTTGAAGTGAGATTTTATAAATATAGAGACTGAGATTTTAATGTTCTTCATTATTTCTATGAAAAAAATAAAAATGTACACTTAATAGATCTTAGCTGAAATTTATAAATAATAAAATGAATTAAAGTCCAAAATTTAATGCAACATTTAATGTTGTATGATTTTTTAAAGATAAAAATAAAAAATTAATAAAATTTACTATTTATAGGTTGCATTAAATTCTTTCCTATTTTTTTGCTACTATTTTTGTTAAATATTACTCCCTCCTTTTTAAATTAGATGTCGTTTTGACTTTTTTGATTCATCCATTTTGTTACGTATCTAGACATTAAATGGATGAATCAAAAAAGTCAAAACGACTTTGTTACGTAACAAAATGGATGAATCAAAAAAGTCAAAACGACATCTAATTTAAAAAGGAGGGAGTAATTCTTGTTATATAGATATAGATTCGTTTTATTTGGTTTGATGGATGTCTTAAATTGAGATGACTTGAAACTAAGAGCATCTCCAATGTGAGATGTTGACTTAATAAAATGTTAACCACATCATCAAATTATAAAGTGATTACAAAAATTACTCTCCAATCTATAATGTTATGGACTCTTTTATGCTGACATGGAGACAATAAATATCCAAAGTGTGAAGCCCACTTTCTAGTTTTCCAAAGAGTGTTTGAAAGCCAACTCATAAAAAATCTAACATATTTTAAGGTTTTGAAATGGATGCATTGGAGATGTGTATTCCAAATTAAAATCTTCTCTTTTGACATTCATATTACATGGATTTATATTCCATTCATCATTTGATATGTGTTCAAATTTAATTAATGTTCAAAGCAGAGCATTAGAGATGCTCTAATTAGGTGAATAAGTATCACATTTGGGTAAATTAATTATATTCATATTTGTGTCTTGCGGTGCATAACAATTAAATCCAAATGTAAGAATCTTAACTATGATAGCAAGTTGAATATATAATTAATTTAATATATCATATAATAAATATAACAATTTTTGTATTATAAATAAATTAAATATTTTACAATTACAAAACTCATTATAATAACAAGGAGAAGTGCAAATAAACACTAAAAATTATAAGATTACTAAACAAGAAAAAAAATCGATAAATTGGATTACAAATTATCAAAAATTGCACATATTTGATTTATTCTAATAGTAACTTTATTTTCATTTATTTTAATATACTTAAGAAAGATTTTAATTGCTAGTTGTTTTTATTATTATTATTATATTATTTACTCGTAGTTCCTCGCACGTTTCATTCCACTTCATTTTTGTGTCGCGCGTCCCGTCTCTGTAATCTGTATTGCCTCCGGAAAACATGCACCATATCACCGAACAAAATTTTCAACAGAAATTCATTTTTCTGACCGGAAAAATCTGTTCCCTTTTCTCTTCTCTTCCTTTTTCCGCCAAAATCCTCTTCAGAGAAGCCATTAAAGGCGTTTTTTTGGCGGCGAAACTGTAAATCGAGCTCCATTTCTGAATGAGGGCACCATTTTCTTTTTTTTTTTTTTTCAGTTTGTATTAAAAAATCGAGTGTCTAGGGGAGGAGTTATCTTCTGGGTTACGTTGGTGAAAAAGTGATACAATATTTTTGACGTTTGAAGGGTTGTTGGAAATTTGTACGTTACACACGAAAGTTTATATTTTCCTTTTCACAAAATAAAATCAGAAGCTGATTGGGATTTGTGGGCTTGTGAAGATTTCTCTTTGGGTGAATTTTCATATTGAAGCTGGATTGTTTCAGATTCTTGATTATTGTTTTTCTTCATTGGGGGCATTGCATTTGAAGGCCTAAAACCAAGAGCACGTCTTGAGTGGGTTCTTAGCTATTGCCAAATAGGGCTATGTTTGTTCTTTTGGAGGCTGATTCATATGAGAATGGTAGAAAAATGGGTATGGGTTAATGGTGATTTTAGAGAAAATGAACACCAGATTTTTAGCCCTTTTCATTGCCTGTATATGTGTTTTTGCAGCAAATATTTCTGAAGGAAGAAAGAAATTAGCTCAAAGCTGTGTTGAAGACGGAACTTTTTTGGATGCCAAAGAAGTTAACAAATACATGGTCCGTGAAATTTTATTCGGCGTTGATTTCTTGTGAATGCAGTTGAAATTTGGAATTCATTCCGTCTTTGTTATCTGTGGTAGTGATATAGTTTACACAGCAGATTGGTGTATTTCTTTGTTAAATAATAGAACAGCAGTGAATCTATGTTGTTTAATTTACTTTTGCACTGGATACATCGTGCTTATGTTGTTAATTACACTTATTATTGTTCTAGTAGTAATGCTTAATTATAGGATGCATCTCGAGATTTTTAATTTGCTGTTACTATTAAGCATTTCAAAACATCTTCATCTCTTATTTGTATAAAACATCTTCATGGATCTTATTTCATTTCATTATTGTTCTATCATATTTGGCTGATTAAACGTTATTCACCTTCTATTGAAAATGTTATTCGCTTTTTCCAATCTCCGATTACATGTATGAAACTTAGAAAATTTGATTATCACTTACCTGACAGGCTGAACAAGAATGGGATCACTGCATAAAAGACTTGCAAGACAACTCGGTAGCCCCCAAAGACAAATATTCGAATTTACATCAAACAAAAACTGTCGTGAGTAAAGAACCTATCGTCAACTTCCATAGCCAAAAAAAACACATCCCACGAAGATATCTAAGGCACATGAACAGAAAGCACCATCGAGTTCTGACAGTAGCTTTGACACCTGGCCCGGTTCCAGGGCCCGCAATTCCCCCCATGGATGATGAACCTCCAACTTTGCCGAAAAGCATCTTGCCACATGTCGAAAATAGTGATAATAATAATCAGAAGTATATGCTAGTTGGGATAGTGACGATTTCGGTAGTGGGACTTGCGATTGTGGCTCTATTGTTGTTCGTCTGTCTGAAAAGGAAGAGGCGAGTCGAGCCGAAGGAGGAGGGACAGAGGGATGAGAAGCCTCTCCTCAACTTCACCATCAGTGACATTTCGTCAGGTTCGTTTTTCAGATAACCGAATTTTTTGCCGAACTCATCAAATATTTAGACAATTTGCACTCTCAACTTTTCAAATTTATTATGAATTATGTTACGCGATTCCTTCAGGTTCTTCAGGCCACACATTGAGTAACCCGAGTGGCAAAGACTTTGCAAAGAACCCTTCAGCCGCCGGTTTATCACAAGCCACTAATCCCGACCCTTCACAAGCTAATTCCGAAGCCAATGGAGCAGCCCAAACAGAGGGTAAAACCGTAAATGCGCTACCACTTCCGCCCGGAAGAAAACCACCGCCAGCTGCACCGCCGGAGCCGCCGACACCACCTCCTCCCAAACCACCAGCTCCGGCGGCCCCTCCACCGCCTCCCAAGATCGTCCGCCGCCCGCCGCCCCCAAACCCGCCAGTTCAGGCGAAGCCTTCCCCTCTTGGGCCCCACCACCGGCGATCTTCCACCGGGGAGAAAAGCAATGGCTCGGATGAATCTGAATCTGAAGCTCCGAAAACTAAGCTGAAGCCGTTTTTTTGGGATAAGGTTCTCGCGAGCCCGAATCATTCGATGGTGTGGCACGAGATTAAAGCTGGGTCATTTCAGTGAGTACCGTTTTTTCATTTTGTTCTTTTTGCAATATTTCGTGTTTTTTTTGGTTTGGATGATGAATCAATCTCTCAATTGCAGGTTCAACGAGGAGATGATGGAAACTCTCTTTGGATACACGCAAGCGGACAAGAACAAAAACGATCGCAAGAAAGACTCGTCCTCCCTTGATTCTCCTCAGCATATTCAGATTATCGACCCGAAAAAATCGCAAAACTTGGCGATCCTTCTAAAAGCACTGAATGTGACGACAGAAGAAATCTGTGATGCTCTCCAAGAAGGTTCCAAATTAGTCTCTGAACGTGGCACTTATATATAACACTTCTCTAACGGCGTCTATAATTTTAATTTATAATGTCGATCAGGCAACGCGCTCCCATCAGAACTCATCCAGACTCTGTTAAGAATGGCACCCACAGCAGATGAAGAATTGAAACTCAGATTATACGGTGAAGATATCGCTCGTCTGGGCCCGTCCGAGAGGTTTCTCAAAGTCATGCTCGACATTCCATTCGCCTTCAAACGTCTCGAAGCATTATTGTTCGTTAGCACTTTTCATGAGGACTTTTCTTCAACCAAAGAGTCCTTAGCAACTTTGGAGGTTTATATCCCACTTCTCCTTCCCTACTGCCCAAATTGTCTCTACAAATTTCAGAAAAATAAAAAGTAAAATTCACAATCCCTCGNTTTGTTGTCCAAGAAATCATTCGCTCGGAAGGAATCCGAGAGGCCCGCCGATTGCGGGAGAGCCGAAGCATGTCGAGCGTGAAAACCGAGGACCTTTCGCTCGGCGACCCTTCGCACGAGTCGGAGGAGTACCACCGGGCCCTCGGGCTTCAAGTCGTGTCCGGGCTGAGCAACGAGCTTCGCAACGTGAAGAAAGCTGCATTGATCGACAGCGAGAGTTTGATCAAGACCACCAATTCCCTTGGGCGGGCCCTCGAGCAGACGAGCGCGTTTCTCGAGGGAGAGATGAAAGGGGTTGACGAGGTGGGAGGGTTCAGGGAGGCGCTTGTCGGGTTCGTGGGCCAGTGTGAGTCGGATATCGAGTGGCTGAAGGACGAGGAGCGGAGGATCACGGCCTTGGTGCGCAGCACGGGGGATTATTTCCATGGAAGGGCAGGGAGGGAAGAGGGGTCCCACCTTTTTGTGATCGTGCGCGACTTTCTGGTGATGTTGGATAAGGCGTGTTTGGATGTGAAGAGCTTGTCGAGAGGAGTGCTGCAAGTGAAGGTGGAGCCGAGGAAGGAGGAGTCGACGATAGAGATTAATCGACAGCTGTTCCCGGCGATGAGGGAGTGCCAGCTGGACGACGATTTCAGTTCGGATGACGAAGGTTAAAAATGATTTCTTTTTTCGAGGTAAGCGTAAAAAAAAAAGTTTTCCTTCTCTTATTTATAAACATCTTTGTATAAATATGAAGAAGAAGAAGAAGAAGAAATTGCATCTTTAAAAATGTGTCCCCTTTGTGTCTTGCAATTCTTTAGAATGGATGGGATATTCAACACATTGTAGAAGTTTATGATAATATACTCACATGTCCTTTTCTTTTACACGAGAGGCATTGCGATTTATCGAAGTTCGAATATTTCGATCCAATGCAGGACTAAACTCTCAAGACTGTTGAGTTTTTAACCCAACTGTACACGCGCAGAGATGAGATCGTGGAGCTTGATACGGTTGGGCAATGGAGGGGAGAACACCAGCTAACTTATACGAGTTTTTTTTTTCTCTTCTTTCTTTTNTATATATCTAACGGGTGAAAATGTTAACAAAAGCAAAATGCACCTGTTGTGCGATTCTTGTCATGGGGCTCAAAACATTTTTTGTCTGTAAAATCTGAATGGTTTGTTTTAGGATATATATATATATGACATATGACAGGATCACAAATTTTATGCTGTGTGGTTATAGTGTTTTTTGTTCTTGAATGTGCTTTTTACATGGGTGAATTGTGCCGACATGGGCTTTTTCATTTTAAGGTCACACACACATATGGATGTAAAGGAGCTACCCTTAATGAGCTAATTTTATAAATATTAGAAAATTATACTTCCTCCTATTTTTATTATTTGTCATCCTAGCTTAATTGATCATTTGTTAAATAAATGTCGTTTTGGCTATTTTGTACATATTTTTCCATTATTATCCTCATCTAACTAATAAATACACTACGTCTTTTCATATTCACTCTCCATCTTTGTCAAAACATCAATCTCTATCCTCATTAATGAGGGTTATTATTGGAAAAAAAATATTCTTAATTATTGTGCAACTTCTCAAAACGACATTTATTAAAAATAAGAGGGAGTATAAAAAAGTTTCTTTCTGCCTTATGGAGCAGAGGCGAGTGCTCAAATTCGACCCCGTAAAGAGCAAAAACTTATAATTATTAAAAAATTATAGAAAAAAAAATTCTTTCTACCTTATTGAGCAGAGCTGGGGCAAGTTTGACTTTAAATTCGACCCCTTAATGAGCAAAAACTTGTAACTATTAGTAAATTGTATAAAATTTTTTCTTTCTACCTTATTGAGCAGAGTAGATGCAAGTTTGACTCGTTAATTAACCGAGCTTTAAATGAATTTGAAATTCGCTCGTTAGATAACAATTTGATAAACAAGTTGAGTCGGGCTTCACACCCCTCTTTGTTTGGAGGAGATTGAGCTGAACTGCAAGAAAATGAATCTGATGAGTTCGTTTATGTTTTCTAGTATTGATTAGTACTACTTACCTACTGTTTGTTTGGGTTAAGCTACCTAGGGTTCATAAGGCAAATGTGTTGATGATGATTTTTTATCCAAAATTTGTTATTAGGTTCAATGTCAAACTGAAAATTTATTGGTTCGTTCAGTTATCGGTTAGCTAGTGGAATGGAGATTTTTTTTTTTTAAAAAAAAAAGGTTAGAAAATCTACAAGTCGTGAATTACATTAGAGGCCAGGGTCGACTCTGACCACAACCCGACCCTGAACTGGACCGGACATGGCCCAAAACCGACCGTATGTACGGGCATACGGGTCCTTGAATTGGACCCGTGGTATTATTGGGTTAGTTTTGGATCTTTATTTTTTTTATAACCTACCGGTTCTGAGTCGGTTCCTGGGTTGACATTGTTTTTTTTTTTTTAAGAAAAAGGGCGGCTCAATGAACCACCGGCGCGGGCCGGTTCACTTACACATAAGCGGGGCCGGTTCCGAGTCCTAGTTCTTAGACCCGACGACGCACGACCCGGCCCAACAGTTGGTCATGTCTAAGTTACAGTTCACCAAACCAAACTAAAATGCATAAAAAAAACAAAAAAGATAACTAATATAAGAAATACAAGTCTATCAAGTCTCATATATAGATAAAAAATAGGGACTATTTTGAGAGATGAGCATATTTTGAGAATTGTTTATTTGGTATAAGCGTTTAAGCTAGGCAGTTGACTATTGTATTTTTATTTTAGTTTGATTATTTTGTGTTGGAAAAAAATGTAGGCCGAACCTAACACAAAAATTTAAGAAATGAACCGAAATCGAACCAAATATTCAATTTCGCAATCCAAACCGAATTTTTTATTTCGATCTATTTGATTCAGTGAACCAAATTTTGTGCATCCTTTGGTGTACACTGTTAAATACTTAAGGGGTTGGTTGTTTATAAAATAATTTACTCACATTTAATTCATACTCTATTTTAACTCAATCTCACTATTTTTAATATTATTTATTTAATTAAATAATACAAACTAATCATTCTTACACATCACATCTACTTTAATTCACTATTTATCCGCTCACATAATTTTAATTACCCATCATTTCCAATTATTTATTTCTTACTTTTACATCAAATCATTTTTAATCATTTTATTTTAAATATATCAATTTTAATTATTTTAATTTAAATATTATTTTAATACATTTTTAAAATTCCACTAATAACTAACCATATCACCTTTTTCAAAATCAACTCTAGTTAACTAAAATAACTCATTTTGAATGAAATATTTCATAAACAAGCACGCCCTAAATTTGGCAGAAATGGATCGGAGGAATCGTGTTACATTACCTAAATTAGTTGTTTGTCCATTTCAGCTAATTTGACATTGATCTTGTTTGGTAATCAGCGGTTAACTGTTAGCTGATTGCATTAGCTGTTTTGACCAGCGGATTGTGTTAGCGGTTTGTAAAAATGTGTTTGGTAAAATTAACTGTGTTAATTAGCGGTTAACATGTAAAATTACTTATAAGGACATCAACATACATTATCATTCTAAATTATGTTGAACTTATAATTATTTAGAAAATAAAAATAATTAATATTTTAAATATTTATTAAAGTGATCTAAATTTAATAAAAAATTATATAATAATAAATTGAAAATATTTTTTAATCGAGTAAATAAGTTCAAGTCATATAAACAAAGTCAATAACAAGTCATCACTAATTAAAAATATAAATATGAGTCAATTACAATATCTGCTATTACAATCAAAAAACAAAAATAAAAGAAAAAAAAAAAACTAATGCTCTAAAAACGACGTCTAGATGCCATCAAACTTGAAGTTATATTATTACGAACAGTTGCCATCTCCCGAGTCCTCGTTTCCCCATCACCTTGTGTAGAATTAATTTCAACATCTTGGAAAAAGAGCCCCAACTGATTTCAGTCAAACATTAATCATGTAAGACATTAAAAAGAGCTCTAAAAATAAATTAAACTCTTGACAAGAAACATCAACTAGCAAGATGGTCTCAACTCAAACAACCCAATAGCTTCAAAAGCAGAACAAGGCTCAGCAGGATATCATACAATCCGAGGATAAAACATGCTTCCATTTTTTCATATAATATAATATATCTAGCATGCACATAAAACTAATTTTTTAGGCACATCCTTACATTGCTTTTAACACATTATCACCACAAGAAAAAAATCAAGGTACCATGCTCTGAAATTCAAGATAAACCGAGACCAACAAAGCTAATATACAACACATCTCAACATGCTATCTTTTCTCAAAATTAAAGCATGAAATCCCCCTTCTTAAATCTGGAATTTAAGCAAATAGCACCACATAATCTCGGCCATTTTAAAGTAATAAAGCTCAGCCAAAAAAACTACCTCTCGTCGAGAATAAAATGACCAAACTAAAATCAATTGAAAAAGTACATAAATTGGACCAGATACTCACAACCCACAACACTAAACCAAGAACTCTACCAGTGACCACAAGCCAAACCCATCCATACTCAATAATTATATCCCACCATATTTAAAAAATTTAAAATTAATTAATGCAATAAACAATATGAAGAGCAATCATTGGAGGATACCTGATACATGCAAATGGTAGTATGAGTGTCGTGCATACAGAACTACTGTATTACTTAGCACTAGTTATTAGTGCTCAACAATCAATAAAAGTCCACTATTCCAACTCATTTAAATAAGAGACTAACTATGCGGCCCTTCATATTCTGGACTGTTTCAATGCATCTTAGGATGATGAGATAAAATTCTGAAAAGTGCCAACGAGAATAGCCAAACCCATCCATACTAAATAACCCACCTGTTAGATAACCGACTCTGTCGCCTAAATCTTTAGCTAAAAATACATGATCAAGCACTCTGGTATTCTCACCTTATCAAAGACTAATAAATCAAGAAATTTCAACATCGAGACAAAAAATTCACTTCAATAATCAGATATTTCATTGCAGCCCATCAGACTAAAAACTAACAAAAGATCGAGTAAAACACATATGCAACCACAATCCTCTAATTCACTATACAAAACAAATCTAAGAAAATAAAAAAGCAAAATCAGAAAAAGAACCAAAAAAAAAAGAAAACGACAAACAAACCTGGAACTAGAAAACTCGAACAACTTCCCAAAAGAATCGAGAATCGAAAGGCTTGATCAAATTTGAGAGTTGAGAGGACGAACGGGATTTTGGGAATTATTATTATTATTTTATTTTATTTTATTTATTTTTCCTGGAACTGTGATGAATAAAAATTTTTAGGGCGTATGAGAATGATAAAAGATGGATAAGGGGCAGATAAGACTATTGGATTTTTTCATTGGAACCGCTACGCTGCGAAAAGTAGCGTTCTAAATTTTAGCGGATGGACCCAAAAAAGCCACTTGCAAAAGCGTTTGCCAAACAACTTGATTAAACTGACCAATGGTCCAAACCTATTTAGGGCGCACCGCTTTGAAAAACATAGGCAAATGGACAAGGCAGCAATCGATCATTCCTCCCTGGTTTAGGTAACTCTCTCCTCTCTTTCTCTCTCTCTCTCTCTCACACACAAACACACACAGGATCCCCACCGCCGTCTCTCCTCCGTCGAACCATCGCGCGCCTTTCCCCCTTTGAGGTTTTCTGTTCATCGGCTGGGGAAGGCGAAGGTCGGGGAAGCGAGGAAGCCGGCGGAAAGCCTTTTACGACCGTCACGTCACACGATCTCAGCCTCTCCAGTAAATCCGTCGATGAGGACGTCGTGTGACGCGGCCGACGCAAATTGAAACCAAAACATACATTTTTTTTATGTTTTAATGTTTTGTGTGATCTCAAATTACGTATTTCTCGAGAAAGTTTGTTGCTTGCGTTTAAAATGGATATGTTTTCTCCTGTGTTATATGTTTTAATGGATCGTTAAATTTCAGACATGCTATTAAAGCTTATTCCCACACGTTTTTAACATTTTCCTGTATTTTCAGGTTTGTGCTGGCCGTTATTGCTTGCTATGTGGCGTACAATCAGGTATATTATTGTTATTGTGGGCAATGTTGTACACTTTTGTTGTTGTTGTTGTTGTATTTGTTGTTGTTGTTGGTGGTGGTGGATATTCATTTATTGTGTTGTGTTTTACAATTCAGTCGGGCTGCACAACAGGGGCTGGGGCCAGCAAGTGCCCCAACACCTTCACTTGGGTTTTGGTCTAAATTTTGGTAACACTTGTGTTATTCCTGTCTCTTGGTTGTACTAAATTTTATTTATAAGTTGACCATTTCTTATGTATATAGGGAATTTCGAGAAACTGAAAGAGGGATTACCGTTGAATGTGTAGCTAAGAATTTAGCGGCAATGGTCGCCGTCTGGGGTTCATGTCGGCTGTAAGTATCTGCTTGCTATGCCTAACTAAATTTATGTTGTGGCTATCTTTTTATACAAGCTGTGAACTGACTGTAACCTCTGTCTCTCCCTCTTTGGTTCTGATATGACAGGGTTGATTATGGTGACTAGTAAGTTCTCTCATTGCTTACCCAAGTTATGTATGCTTAATTCTTTTAATACGTGTTGCATACGGTTTGAAGTTGAACTATATGTCAGACTCGGTTATTTCCACAATGCTTCCGTACTTCTTTCTTTCAGAATCGGAAAATTTTAAACAAACTCAATAAGCGGAAATACACAAGTGCCCTACATACACAAAACCAAAACAATAATATGTTTATTGTATTACTAGTTTAAGAATGTTGACAAAATAATCAAATAGTAATTCTCAAACTTCTAATAAATATTGCTTAATCAATTTTTTTATATTGATCTCTTGTGAATAATTAGATGTTCCCCTTATCGGTATCCTTTACATACTCTTGTTGCAGCAAAGCTTCTACACAACTGGCGGAGCTCCATGCTGAATTGAAGAGTGAAAGGTTTGGCTTAAGAATCTTTATGTTTGGCTGATAATGTTCTTCCAAGTTCTTAGTTGATTACTGATAATGTTCTTCCAAGTTCTCAGTTGATTACTGAATCTACATGACACATAGAGCTCTTATTTTGTGGTCTCTACTGGACTCAAATCATTTATGGTCTACATTAATCATTTGTGATTTATGTTGGATTTAATGATTGCGTTAGGAACCATGTTTGGATGCCTAGTAATGCTTTTCGAAATTTGTACACTCATTTTGAGTTTTGCTAAATTAATTGTCCGACAACATGCAAAAGAATTTAAATTGTTCCTGAGGTGTGTAGTAAATAGGTTTACTAGAAAAATTCATAAGCATGTGTTGGGTTTTGGAGTTATTTGCACTATAGTTTTGCTCGAAATATTACTAAATGTCATTTTTAAAAGCAAATGCTATTGGGTATCGCCAAATCCTTTATTCAAAGTTCTATACAATGAAAGACGTTAATCTAAAATGGGTGAGAATTCAGTTACTTAGGTATCAAGTTATTGTTTCCCTCTCATGCTACATCATCTTGTTAAAAATGAGATGTTCATGGTAGCAATCCATTTTGCACACAAAATGCATGATGCCTTTTCTTCGCTCTACTCTGACTCTATTTTATTTTGTTTTATTTTATTCTGTTCTGTTTGAAAGACAAAAACAGATTGCTTTTATGACTCATGTTTGTCTGTGATTATTGACAGGAAGCGTCGTGACAAACTTAAGGAACAGTTGAAAGAACTAAGGTTTGTACTCCATGAAGAGTCTAGTTTTTGTTCCTTTAGTTTTGGTCTTTATTTTTGTGTGAAAGAAATCCTCGAATTTTAGATGCTATCTCTGTTAAAATCCGTCGAATTCTGTATGTGTGTGAATTTTTATGGCAAAAATTTGGTTTTGGTACCCAAACTTTTGAAATAAGATGTTTTTATATCCAACTCAGGTCACAAGGAGCGTGAAATACGACTGTAGCAGTGTTTGTGGAGCACTATGTTTATGGCAATTCCGGCTGTAAAAACTAAACTATGTATGACCTGCTGCTTTGTGTCATCTCCTGTGGATAATTTATTAGTTTGCATATGCTGCTATGGATAATTTTATAGTTTGCAATACGGCTAAACTATGTATGGCCTCTTGCTTTGTGTCATCTCCTATTATATGATGCTATGGATAATTATCAGTTTGCATATGCTGCTATGGATAATTTATTAGCTTGCAGTACGACGTTGCTTTAATGTTGGCTCAGTTGGTTGTCCATCATTTGAACCTTCTTTCCTGAAGACTTGAGTGGCCATTGGATGGATGCAAAATATACATTTGTTTCTTCTTTTAGCATCTATCAATGAAATTGTCAAGTTGGAATGAAAAAAAAAATATATATATATATATATATATATATATATATATATTCATAATATATGCTTCTCATTTCATTTTAAAAATCGAAAGACTTGAGCGGCCATTGTGAGATCGGCTGAATTGGGGTCGAATTGTGAGATCGGTTCCCACGAAATGGAGCCCTAACTAATTCCTTCTTATAGCTTCCGCATTTGGATGTGGCTCACTGTCTTCGTTAAATATAGACGAAAGTAAATACGCACATGATATAGTCCAGATCATCAGAATTCTCTAGGGTATTCAAAATCCAACGGATATTGGTGACATGCTCCATCTCCAAGAGCTCCTCAACATCAGCAGCATCCTGATTGCAATCTCATGTTCTTACCCGCGCATGTACCCTGCGACCAGGCTGGTCTATTTGTCTACAACGAAACCAACCTCCTTCCATACTCTATGCAAATCGCCCGATTTCTATGCAATCCGATCTCTTTTAATAAACTGATCTGTTGCAATTAGGTAAAGATACATGTTCTAGTATTTTGTCTAATTCAAAATTCTCGATTTTTTGGTAAACTTATTTTTCTAATAAAAAATGAGAGAATTTTGACTTTTACAAAATTGGCATGCCGAATTTTACCTAAATTAACCCGATTTCTATGCAATCCGTTTTTTAATAAACAATTGATATGTTGCAATTAGGAAAAGATATATGTGATAGTATTTTTCTAATTCGAAATTCCCAATTTTATGGTAATCAATTTTTTTTAATAAAAAATGAGAAAGAAATTTGAATTTTGCAAAATTGTAAGCATCAGTCGAAATTTACCTAAATTAAATCCACAAAATCCATGAATTTAGGGTCCATATATAGTTGATCGATTTTTTGGAAATAATTTAAAAAGAAAACTCAAAAACTGCCGAAAACAGAATGCAATAAATGTTGGTTAACTTTTTTTGTTACTAGTTTTGGTAATAGGTTCTCTCTTTATATATATATATATATATATATATATATATATATATATAGATTGTAGGGTCTTTTTTATCGATCCTACAGGATTTGCAAATAATTGCATATTTAGTAGGGACCCACACTTTATTTGCCTTTATAATATTTTTGTCATAGATATTTGTATATATGCCTAACATATCAGTTACATAATAAAAAGGTAAGTAATTGACTTAAGTGTAAGAAATTTGTATTTTCGTGGGTGGGTTAGGAATACAGGAAGTCGGTTCGGGTGGGTGTAAACCGAGGTGTTTTCGATACAGGCGTCTATGGAATGTTCCCAATTCCCCCTTTACAAGACATAATTTCAGCTATTTATAGTAGCTTGTTTTGTGTTTGAATCTCGAGGCATGTACGGTTGCATTTAATGCAAGAGTGGTTTTATGAGGCGGTCTCCTGAAGGGCGGTCCACGGGAATGATAACTACATGTGTGGTACATAGTCGTGTGGCGTGGGTGCTTTGTCACCTGCTGCGACCTCGGTTCTACTTCCACATTGATTTTTGGGAGAGGGTACCTCGGTTTTTAGGGGGATATCGACCATCTTTGTAAATGAGGTCGGTTCATTGTTTTGGTCCAAACCGAGGTGCCATAAGTTTTATTTTGACGAGGGTTTGACAGCCTAAAGTATGGCTTACCCAGGTCGGTCGGCAACAATGTCCATAAAAAATAATTAAGCTATGTTGAAAATGTCCCAAAAAATTTGAGAGTCTAAAAATAAATTAAAATTGTATGACATGCAACGGCCAATAATAAAGATATCCAATTATAATGTTGGCCCATTGAGCGCTCTGCGGCCTACACCACCTTAAAAACACAGTAAATGGATGCGCCGGAGGGTATCATTCCATCCAATTCATTCTCCCAGTGAAAGAGGTAAATTCTCTCTCTCTCTCCTTCTCGACATATCTCGACGTTGTGGGAAACGACCGAGGCTAATCGCGACCAAAACATCTATTTTTTTGTTACTAAATTATTGTGATTTTTACAGAAAAGTTTCTAGATCTGAAATGAATGAAGATGCCTCTTTTTTGCTTCTCTTGTTAGTTGTACTTTTACGTGTTTTAATCGGATAACCAAAATCTTCATATGTCCTTGTCAAGCTTATTTGAAACTGATGAACGGTGAATAAGCACCTTTCAACACTTTTTACTTTTCTTTTAGTTTATTTATTTGTTGTAAGCCACGAAATAAATGGGGGTGCCTAATTATGCTTTATCGTTTTTTACAGGAATCCAGCACCATGACAAGAAGTTAGTAGATGTATTCTGAGTAATTCTTTTGCAAAAAGTTAAAAACTGAACTTTATTCCTAATATAGAGTATGAGTTGATTGATCTCCTTTGCATGACAACTATTACCTTGTTGATTTGATTTGTGCGATATTTGGTGTAGGGATAGGGATATTTATGGTCGAGTACCTACTCGTACCTCTGTCTTTCTGCGAAGTAAGATTGTTAATGTTAAGTGTGTGTGTGTGTGTGTGTGCTCGTTGTTAAATTACTCTACTCATTGTGATCTACTCTTTAGGAAACGTGGGTTTCTGCATTGCTGTGCCTTGGTGTTTGTATGCTTTCTCTTCATACTTGTGAGTGATGACTTTTTTTTCCAACCCGACCATTGTTCAACTTACCCTCCTACCTCTTGTACTGATCCTTTTCTTTTTTTCACTGACTAATTTGTTCTATTTCTTTGGATTACCTTATCAACTGCAGCATGGATTTTGATGGTTATTGGTATGTCATCTTATATCCACCACTCTCGTGTTGGTTATATTTTTTTTATTGTTTGCTATACTTTCTCATTACATTCTAAGATTTTTAAGTAAGAGTTCTCCCATTGCAGGAAACGAAGAGCTGAAAAAAGACGATTTGAGATGTGAGTATGCATGTCTTTTTTATTTCTCTACTTGTATAAAAAAATGTGAAATATCTGATTTTTCTTTTGTCCATTATCTCTATCCCATAGGTACATAGGCAATAGAATATTTTCTTCTGCATTCGTCGATCTTATTACATCTAAATTCTTTCTTGATACCTTCCTAAGGGAAATATTTTTATTGGATCCCAAATTGGCAGTCAATGTAAGCTTATTTTTGCAGAAATTGTGCCTTTAGTTTTCTTTTCATGACGATTATCCAACATTTTTATGTGATATTGTGTTGGTCTTATTGACACTCTTCAATGGAATTTCAAAGTTATCATGTTGTTTGTTGTTATTGCAGCAAGGAAGTCACGAGAGACCTGGATTCTATGAGGAAGATGAGGTTTGAGTAAATGGTTTATTTCCTCTTGGGCATTCTCTCTTGTTAGGTTGAATAGTGTGTTGTTAGTTTTTTTGTCACTGAAAGTTTGTTGATAAACTATTGGCAGGGAGGAAATGGAGCATTCCGTTATGAGGTATGCATTTAGTTCCTAATTAATCTTACACCACAAATTTATGAGTGTTTGGAGAGGGCTGCTGCTTTGTTAACTGAAAAGTGAAGGGTAGTGTGATAATTTGAAGTTTTAATTGCATGTGGGAACTGGGAAGTACTAGGGCATATTTTAAATAATATATAGGTATATAATTGTGTTTAAATATAGTATAGTCGGTTTCGTTACTTCAGACAAATTAATATTGTATAACCAAACAAAATTCATTATTTCTGCCGGTTGTTTTGGTGTGAAGCGAAGTTTGCACACCCCTAGTTGTAATGTCCTGTGAGTAGAATCTTGGATTGCCAAGTCCTGTGGTTTGTTATAATTACTATGTGAGTTTGGACATCGACACATGAGATGTTTTCAACTCAGGTTACAAGCAGAAGTCACAAGTGAAAATGCGAAGAGCAATGGAAATACTGGAGTCTGAAGCTGGTTCTATTTATTGTAGTACTTGGCAGAACATATGCTTTTGTGGACAAGGGGTGTGAAAATATGTTAAACTCTAGCATCTCTCTACTTGTTTGGTCTTATGCGGTGGTATAACTATTTAGTCTTGTCTTGTGGCATTCACCTATATCTTTGGATTCTTGTATTACTATATCTTTGGATTTTCTTGTATTTTCTGATTTTATGTCTACGAGTT